TAGACCCATCCGCTGACACGTCCACTCCCAAATATCTGAATACATTCACCTCCTCCACACTCTCTCCCTCCAATCTGATATCCAATCTTTCATCACCTAATCTTTTTGTTATCCTCATAACCTTACTCTTTCCTGTATTCACTTTTAATTTTCTTCTTTTGCATACCCTACCAAATTCATCCATCAATCTCTGCAACTTCTCTTCAGAATCTCCCAAGAGCACAGTGTCATCAGCAAAGAGCAACTGTGACAACTCCCACTTGACTCACGAAATCGTAATGACACGATTGCAAACAAACCATACCCCGGCCGGGATTGAACATGCGGTCAGAGAGTCTCAAAACCCCAGCCCGTCGTGTTAGCCACTAGACCGCGGGTTCAATCCCGGCTGGGGTATGGTTTAACTTCCACTTTATGTGTGATTCTTTATCTTTTAACTCCACACCTCTTGCCAAGACCCTCGCATTTACTTCTCTTACAACCTAAGTGAGCGGTGCACTTAGGAGTCTGTGGAGACAAAGAACTTTGTCCTTGGAGGCAAAGAGGGGAATGTATGAGAGTATAGTTTTACCAACGCTCTTATATGGGTGTGAAGCATGGGTGATGAATGTTACAGCGAGGAGAAGGCTGGAGGCAGTGGAGATGTCATGTCTGAGGGCAATGTGTGGTGTGAATATAATGCAGAGAATTCGTAGTTTGAAAGTTAGGAGGAGGTGCGGGATTAACAAAACTGTTGTCCAGAGGGCTGAGGAAGGGTTGTTGAGGTGGTTCGGACATGTAGAGATAATGGAGCGAAACAGAGTGACTTCAAGAGTGTATCAGTCTGTAGTGGGAAGGGAAAGGGGGGGTAGGGGTCGGCCTAGGAAACCAATCAAAATCATTCATTTTCTGTATATGTTACCTTCTATAAAATGAGACCGGAAAAAAGAATAAAAACCAAAAATACCATAAAAAAAATTACGTGCAAAGTTGCTTTTTTTTCCCCAAAAAAAACATGGTAAAAAAATTTTTTTTTTTCTCATTAACACTGTTTTGCTGAAGGAAATTTTTTTTTAACGTGCCCATCCCCACATGGGCCCCAAATTTTTTAAAATTTTGTGGGCCCAACCAAAGCTTTCTCTCGTGTTTTGAAGGCGCTGAATTTATGCGAAACTAGTGCGTCCAAAACCCTAGTGTGTAACCTTTACTAGTACTTGGGAAAACCCTGAAAGGGTTAATTTAAATTTTTTCTAGAAAAAATTTGAGGGGTTGAATAAGGGTTTACCTTTTCCCCCCGTACATAAAAGGGAAATAAAAAAGGAATTGGGACCTCACAAAAATTGGGATTGTTGAGGTTTACCCTTCCCCGTTAAATTTGGAAGAGCATGTGAGATGGGGGGAATTTCCCGACATTTCTTTGGGTACAGTTTTGGATTGACTTCAGATATGACCCCATTTAAAAAGGGGGGGCAGTGTATCTGGAGCTGCTCAAAAACTGGGTTTTTTGGTTGAAAACCTCAAGGAAAAAAATTGACAGAGGTTTATAACTAAAAAAAATCAAAAGTTGGGGACACTATAAGTAAAGGTCCCACTTTTATAAAAAAACCTGATGGTCGGGTTTTTAGAACCCCCCAATAATTGAAGCAGTTTTTGTAAATACTCTTTAAAAACAGACCACGGGGTATGAGGGCCCCCTTATTTTTCTCAGGAAAAAAATAAAAAATTGTATATTTCTCCCTACTTTGAGCTCGATTTTAGTTACCCCCACTCTTGAAACAACCAGGGATCACCCATTTTATCAGTATTAGGGCATCTTTTTTATAAATGATACCATGAAAAAAACCAATAAAAAAAAATTTAAAAAATATTCTTAAAAAATGCCTCAATTTTGCTGTTGAAAAACCAAACATAAGGTCAGAAGTCTGTTTTTCCCATCATGCCACCATGTGGGACAAGTTTTTTTTTTATACAGTTTAAACCGCTGAACAGACTCTTTCTTTATGTCTAGGGAAAAAATTTTATTGCTTACAGAAAATTTTTGAGCTGGTTTAAAACCCAAAGGGAGGTGATCAACCCAAACTTGAATGCTACAGCCCAATTTCAAAATTTTAACCCCCTACTCTCTAAATTTTTTAAAAATTTTTTCATGGGCCGGGATTCTTTCCTACCTCATTCAAACTTTCATAAAACCCCCTGTTTTGGGATTCGGGTAATAAAAGAAACAAAGATGCTATTGTCAAATGTTTAGAACAAATATTAACGCTCTCGAAAAGAAGAAGTCCCCCCCTGGGAATTTTTTGTTTTCCCCAAAAAGCTTTTGTTTCCCAGTGACCATGAATTGTGCCCCACTAAATTAAACCACTATGGTATAAGGGGCCCATTTCCCTAAACTCCCTAAAATCATACTTTGTAGCAGAAGCCAATAGGGTTTTCCCCCAAGGGTTTCCCCAAACTTTCCCCCCCCCTCCAGTAGGGTCCCGGAAGTTTTCCCTAGGATCCTCCTTTTTCCCTCATTTTACATCAATGCCCTACCGTATGCATCACATCTAAAAAAAAACCCAAATTATTTGCAGATGACACTACTTACGTCTTTTTACACCAAACCCAGCCACTCTCGCCAACACTGTCAATCTAAATTTGCAGAAAAATATCTGCCTGGGTGATGTGAATAAACTTCCCCTAAATATGACAAAACCTATTTCTTTCCCGTTTGGCCCCCAAAGAGTAAAAATTTTTCCCACTTAGTAACACTAAATAAAATCACCCATAAACAAGACCCCAGGGGGAAAATTTTTTCCTAGAAACCCTAGACAGTAGCCTAAAATTTCCAGAACAAAATTACAAAAAATTTTCCCCAAGAAAATCTCAAAGGGACAGTGGGCAACAAATTAAAAAAACAGTACTATTTTTCCACAATCAGCTTTCCTTGCCCTGTATCTTTTCACTCATCTATTCTTATCTCCCCTGTGGATTTTGTGATGGGGTTCAACAACATAAAAAACCACCAAAAGGCCTTAAAACCCAGGAAAGGCTGCTTTTAATCGAATGAAAAACCAAAGCTCACTCGCGACGTTACTCCCTCTATTCGAAAGTCTAAATTTGCTCACCATAAAAAACCTCCACACTTTTTTCATGTGCCTATTTAAAAACATGGGAACCCAAATACAGAAAAACCAAAAAACCCTTTTGCTCAAACCCCTTCCCCCAACCTTAAACAGAACAACGACCATCCCACAGAACAGTCGCTTTTTTGAGTACCTATGTCCTTATCCACTGTGTAAAATGTATCCCAAAAATTTTTTCCCAAAAAAAAAATCGGGAATTCATTACCGGAAACATACAAAAGTAACCAGGCCTAAAAATCAACTAAAAAAACAATTACTCGCCCGGGAAAAAAAAATAAAAACACTCAATTTTTAAACTTTCCCAATTTATTTTTAAATTACTTAAATCTTAAAATTTCCAAAGGGAAAAATTTCCCGTAATTTGATTGTCTTTTTTGTTTTTTACACTGAAATTGTGCCCAAATTTTTTAGGGACAATAATGCTTTATATCGAAATGTTAAAATTTTTCTTATTTCAAATACTCAATTGTATTTCATATTGTAAATTTTTTATGGTAATTTTTCCCACTAAACCCTTTCTTTGCTTGTTAATTTTTAAGTTATTTTAAAGTCCCCCTAATGTTCAGCTTTACAAGGGGCTTTTGGCATGTTCACCCAATACTAAAATTTCCCTTTGTAAAAACTGTGTATCTTTTTAAATTTTTAAAAATAATGAATAGGGGAATGGGATCAAAATTACAAGCCCGCCCCAAGGAGTTAAGGGTTTTTTTTACAGTTTTTCCCCTGTTCCAAATATCATTTTTATTTTTCCTCTGAAAATCCCCTTGTCCTTTAAATTCCTACCCCCTTTGTTTTGGGTCTGCTTTATAAGATGAAGTCTGGGGGATTTTTCCCTTAATTCATGGTATAATTTTAAAAAAATTAAATTGAGGCCCATTGTTTTGCCAGGTCTAAAGAAAAGCTCGCCCTGTCCCAACCCAAAATTTTTCTAACATGTTGATGCTTAAAGGTTTTTAGTACCACCCCCAATCATCTTAGCTACCCCATGTTTCGGGCCCCCCTTGGGGCTCCGGTTTTACCGGGTCGTTCCTTGTGATTGAAATCCCCACTAGAAACTTTGCCCTACAAAAGGGGGTTTTTTC